GTAATAAAATCATTTAACAATGTTTAAATAATGAATACAAATATCTACTATGTATAAAATATGGTAGAGAAAATATTTCCTGTTTGTTTCACTGACTTCAAACGATATTTATCAAAAAACAGATGTGTAAGATTTACTTAACCAAGTTAAGTTTTAAGTTTTTTTAGAGTAAAATCATGATCAAAGAAATGCTTTTATTCTGAAAGAGGTAAACAGGAAGTATCACAAGTTAGACAGGGCTATAACTCTGGTTTGGATTGGCAATTTATCTCAGATTATCCCACCCACGTTCAAATTAAACCAATAGAAAGCGAACATTGTCATTCCCATCAATCTTCAACTGGAAGAAGATGAGGGTGTGTGAAGACAGTCATCTTAACCTTAGCGTTCCACAGTTTTGTTTTGTTTTTTAAATCTGTCTAGCACTTTAGCATTAATGGAGCTAAGATTCTTGTTTAGTGGATTAGCAGTTCAAGAACCTTATTGTTTGGTGTGCCTATCACTGTGATGGGCACAAACTGAGTTTAAGGCTAAACATTGTTTCTTCTTATTGGCAGGAATGAATCCACCCTCATAAAAAGACCCAGTGACAGGCAGGCAGCTGCTGAAGTCTGTACAGTCTTAGCCTTTTGACTTCAGCTCGTGACTCCTACCTTTTTCATTCCTTTCTCCAGGCTGACAGTCTGTGTTTTTCCACTGCAGAGGATAATCCATGCTTGACAGGGCCAGTGTGATCTTCTCATCCAGCAGCTTCAGGTCATCGCTTGAACTTGGTCCGATCTGGTCTCTGTAGTGCAACAGTCCACCACAGAGCTGCCCACCAGCTGCCTGCGATAACACAGGAAACCTCTGCAGGACCTCTTCGTAGCTATGAGGGCCAAACTGGTCTCTGTTTGCACTCAGGTACTCTGCAGCTTCCTGGGGAACATCTCTGAGGTATTCGAGGTATGCTTTACCCTCACATGGATTAACTTGATCATTTGTGTAAAAATAGGCTGTGACAGAAACGACTTCTACGCAGTCATGGCCTGTGGCAGACAGAGGACAAACCATTAAAACGTTCTGGAAGTTAGTCAGAAAAAGGCAGGAAAACAAAGAATGTTTGTCCCCTAGGATGAACTTACCTGGAACAGTAAAGTAAAGGGTTTGCTCATCATTGCCTCGTTTTGCTTCTGTCACATGTGTAAGCTTGGAGCCTTGGGCAACAATGTAAAACTGGGCATCATGAGGAGCTCTTTCTTGTATCCTTACACAACTCTCAACTTGTCCCTGAGAGAGAAACAATAAAACGGATCCACTTTAATAAACTTCAAAACAAACTCAGAGTGCATGGGTCATGTTGCTAAGATTTCCTTTATTACTCAGTGCCGTTTCAGAGGTTTTCTTTAGAGGGAGAAAAGATGACTCATTTCTGGTCAAACTGTGGGGAAAACAAAATCAAAATTCACTGCATTTGCTCTTTTGAATAACAGTGAAAAAATGGAGCCAAGGGGAAAGAAGGTGAAAAAACAGAAATAGTTTTCTCATGTTTATGGGAGTGAGCTGCAATGTGCTGAGGAACTCTTTACAAGCCATCATCACAACCACTGACCTTCTTAATTTAACCTCAAACACCCCTTTTCTCTGCTCTTTAGAAGGTTTGCTCATGAAGTCAAATTAGGTGAGTTGGAGCAGAGAAATCTCTAAGGGTGCACTCACATCAGAAAAGTCCTTTGGTCCACTTGTTCGGTCCGGAACAAAAGCTGGTGCGGTTTGCATTTGCTTTGTGCATTTTTATTTTTATTTTTTTATTTTTTTTGCAAGTTGAGTATAATTTAAAAAACCGTGGGTGTGACGATCATGCTCCCATTGGGCAGAAATGGTGGGTGTGAGACAAAACATAGACCCGGAAAGAAAAATGGTGCTGTTCATACAATTGCAATTTGATTTAGAATTTCATGAGCAGCTTATTCAACATTGGTTTCACAATGATATACTTCTAACATTGGGATGGAGTTGGCAAATGCGTGCCGCAACCCAAAGACAAAATGCTGCACATTCCCTGACCCACAACAGCTCATTATTTGTAGCGTAGTGGTAACATTAGCAACACTGAACGGCTAATTGTTGCCATGTTATTTGGCAACAGTGGCTTGTAAAGTCCTAAAAGGCTCATGTTTTCTGTAGTTGGTTTGGTTCAAGGCTGGTCTGAAATCACACCAGAACCAAGACCACCTCAAAGCTTGGTCTTGGTTCGGTTGCTTGGTCCGCACCAGGGTTCTCATGAGTGTACGAACTCTGGTCCTTTTAAAGCGGACCAAAAGGTGTGAATACCCTCCAGGATCAGGACTGGACACCCCTGCCCTAAAAGTTTTTCAGTTTCAGTTGAGCTGAATTAGCTTTGGTGGCATCTTGAACTGAGTTGAGGTAGGTTCATTTTTGAAAGTTCATCAGTGGTTCATGAAATTTGTAGTCAGCGTCTTGAAACTTCTCTACAAAATGACCATCAGGGCAACAACACAGAAAAACAAGTTCTTCTTCTTAAAGACAATCCAATGGTTTTAACATTCACACCATCATGTATCTGTCATCACATAACTGAAGTTCCACCCTTACTCAATGGCCCTGTCATCCTTTTTCTCATGTTCCTATTTGATTTTCGTCTTTTAATTAATGGGAAGTTATCTCCTTTAGTCAAAAGCATTCATCATTATTGCCTGCCTCTAATGTGTTGAAAACAGATTAAAATACAGATTGTGCAAAATCTTTGGTTAAAACTTTGGCATTAATTTTCATAGGCTACATTCACACAGCAGGTCTTAATGCTCAATTCTGATATTTTGAAAAATCCAATCTTTTGGCGTGAACGTTCACATTACATATTAAATGTGATCTCCATCAGACTCCAGTGTGAACTCTACAATGACCTGATGTGACCCGCATGCACAGAAAAAGACGTGACAGCTCATTCACCTGGCTGTTTACAGAGTTAGCATGGGTGCTACTTTTAGCACGCCAAATCTAAAGTTGCTGTTCAATCAGAGCTGATTAAATAATTACTTGACACGGTTGTTTAGTTCAGTGTTTATATCTGAACTTGCCTCTGATTGGGATGCTCCTGTGCAGCATTTTATTTTTTGGAAAGAATTAAGGAGCTGGAAATAAAGTATTGATTATACAATCATACTATCTACAGTCCATGCAAAACTTAAAAGTAAAAATACAAAGCAACCAGACTTCTGTTTTGGCGCTGTAAATGCATGGAGCTACAGATTTAAACAGCATGACTCAATGTCAGTTATTGATTCTTCATCCCCACCTCACTGAGTGTTCAGACTGCTGTCGCTTTGAAAAACATCAGATATGTATCCTATTTAGAACCACATACTGAAATGTTCTGGGTCTGACTTGAAAATTTTTGATTTGTTGTGTTCAGACTGTCATAAAAAAATCAGATATGGGTCGCATGGGGCAAAAAAAAATCGGATTTGGGTCTCACTTGCCTGCAGTGTGAACATAGCCATAGTTAAGTGTCTGTTGGTAAAACAGCCCTTGAAGTAATAGACACATTTTAGCAAAATTCTCAGAAATCACTGCTTGTACCTCTACAAGTTATTAACATTAGAGTCAATACAACTGAAAAAAGCCACTGATGATGAAGAAGCTAAAATACTAATATTCAGATATTCAGTACTGCTTTCTACTGAAGTGGCAAAAAAAGGAGTCAATACAACTAAAGATGGCGGCCACAACAAATGGATATTAGTCAACACAAAAATGGCTCTAACTCTAACAGTTTTACTGATACTGATCTAAAATTTGAAGTAGTAGTAGCTGACAGTCATTGATACAATCTGAGTGCTAACACAATCAGTCAGCAGATCAGAGGTGCAAAACAATCAGGAATCAGAACCGGTCAAGAAAACCACAAWTGTCAACACAATATGCAGTAAAAGGCCCCACTTCCACTATTTTGAATAATCATTATATACAGATATTGTTTTCTGCATTGTGGTTTTGGTTTCTAACAAAACACAGCTCGGGTTCAGACCCGGGGGGCATTCTTCCCTCCCTGGGGCATGAAGCCCCCAACAACATAGGATCATTGGGACTCAAACCTCTCCACCATGATAAGGCTGCAGCCCAGGGAGAAAATTTAAATGATGTTTTGAATTCTTGGAAGACCAATAAATCATGAGATGGAAATAATATTTGTTCAGCGCTCAATGAACTGGGAAAGATGATTTAATGAGTGTTTTATTGCTTCCAGTTCACTGCACAATCCTCCTAATATCTGAGACGATGACTCGCTCATTAGTTCTCCAAATGACTCTGAAGTACTGTAACAAGTTCTTTCAGTTTAGTCCAGTCTCAGTCTCAAAGGTGAATAAAGCCCTCAGATGTTGGGATAGTAAAAAAGCTGTTATTCCAGGTAATTTGGAGCCATATCTTTAAAACTCACTGGTGATTTTATTGTATCACCTCTGACTCATAACTTCTTTCTGAACACAGAAAAAGGTTAATTTATTAGAAATCTACAGCAGCCTTAAAGTAATAATGTCTCAGTGACTCCAGACAGCCCGTTAAGCCTCACCGGTTTTTGGCACAAGAGGATCGATCATATTTTAGTGAAGCTGTCATGATTGTGTATTTTTGGTTATTTGATCTGTTGTGGTTTTAGATCAGGTTTCTGTTTGTTGTGCTTTTCTGTTTCTTCTGATTCTTCTAGTTGTGGTTCAGTTTCCCTGTGTTCCCTGTGCTATTTTTCTCATTTATCCTCAGTCATCTTCCTCTGGGTTTGTTTAGTCAGCCACCCTCCTTCACCTGGTCCCAGCTGCCAATTAGGTCAGCTGTTTCCAATACCTCGTTACCTCTGCTCCATAAAACTGGTCTCCTGTTCACCACTTCAGTGGATCATTGTACTGGTTTGACCATGTGTCTTGGTCCTCCAACCATGTTTTGTACATTTGTTACCGCAATGTCGGTCTTTAGTTTTATTTTAATAAAAGTGTTTTATTTTCTTGCACACCTCGTAGTCCTTGCGGTATACTGGTTCGTTCTGAATACCATTTTTTTTTATTTCTGTTATGATATGAATTTTCTGAACACCGACATACTGGTTTAAATAGCATGAACACATTTGGAACATTTTGTCACGGCCGCCAGTGAACTGTTTCCCAGGGGACAMTTTTCCTCGAAGCACCGCTMTGCACATTAGCAAGCTCATTGGAGCAGCTAGTTGTTGGAGTTATTGGCGGCGGGTGGCGATACCCCTGCTTATATTGACTGACCTAAAAAAAACATCCCGTTTTCGCCATTGTCAATACAGTAAATACATCTTTGGTGACATTCACAGTTAGATTTAACATACGTCAATATGGAGACGCATGGAGACTTTAGCTTCTATTGTGAAAAGCCCAGGGAAGTAGTTTTGTAGTTGAGTTGACTGGTATGCAAGGTGAGTCGTCCTGTTAAGCTTTATTAAACAACATAAAACAATAAACCCGATAATAATCTTTTCTTAACCCTCCTCCTTAACRACTGGACCAAAATGCATGACTACTGTCTCCAACCACCAGTCAGAGAAGAAAAGACAGAAACAGAAACACAGACAAGAGGTACAGTAAAAGAAAAAAGTTAATAAGCAGTGTTTGATCATTTTATTATCAGCTGACCTGATGAAAAGAAAAGCACCGTGATAAACTGTGAAACCGATGTAAATGTTGAAAATACCGTGATAKTAAATTTTAGTCATACCGCCCAGCACTAGCTCCTCATATCTGCCTGCATTCTGGGTTCAAACTCTCAACCAACCATGACAAAAGCAAAGACTTCTCAGTTTTTAACTGTCAGAACATGCTGTTGGCTTGTTGAAAATATTCTCCTCAATATATTCCATTGAGTGTTCTGACTGTCCTCAGGGATCCATTCTGGTGTTACACTTTTGTACTCTTGATTTAGAAGTAACAATCCCTAATGTTAACAGTTATGCTGATGATATATCTGTTCGAATCCATACCTTTTCATGTGCTTCATCAGCTCCAACACTGTTTTCATGTGGTTCAGAGTGGTTTGTGTAATTCCACAGTAATTTTAAATGATAAAAAAAAATTTATGTTCTCCAACACAAAATAAAYGTCCACGATTCATCATCAGTTATCATTTTTAATGCGTCAGAGATTTAGTTTGGGTCTGAAAACAAATACTGATGGTCAGATTGATAATTCTTGGTCCTTCAAGTCTTACATCCAGCAGCTGATAGAAAATTAAATAAAACTTGGTTTCTTCTT